CTCCAGCGGCCGCTGGCGTTGCTCGTCCCCGCGGCTGGCGAAGGAGCGCGGTCAGTGGGATGCGGGGGGGAGGTGGGGGGTGGGCGCAAAAAAAATCTCCTTGAGGGGCTCCCTTCGCCCGAGATGTCTTTTATTGAATATAGAGGCCGGCGAATGGTGGGGACGTCTGAGTAATAATTAAAATCATGTGTAAATATTGTGCTTGCGAATGTGTGGTTCTAATTAGCGTTACATCGCTATGCGGGCTCTCTCTCTCCCTCCCTCTGCCCCTCTCCCCTTCTCTCTTTCTTTTTCTTTTCATGTCTTCCCAACAGTTTAATCTGAAATCTCACAGAGATCCTATTTTAATGACGCGCTCTCTCCCCCCTTCAGGATTACAAAGGCCCATAATGAAACTATTACCCCACATTAGAGTTCGAAAATTACGGAACAGTTGCAAGATCTCCACAAACAAGGAGCCCGTTATTTTCTAACAATTTAAAAAACGCAAATAAAGCTCTCCTCTGCTATTTTTTGTGGCCATTGTACAGGCACGCCGCAATAGAAAAAAATAATTGTGTTTCTTTCCTGGAAAGACGGAACTCGACGTCATTTGTATTTATTATTAAGAGTCAGCTGTGGTGAAATGTGATTGTAGAACTTCCTTTTTCCATTCAGAAAAAAATAATCTTAGCTGCAGGAGTCCTGGATGTTTATATTCGAATTCGGATTCTCAACTTGCAGCGGGTTTAATTTTTTTGGTTCTTCACCAAAAATAATAGCAAATGAATAACAATAACAATAACGTTTAAAAGAACGTGCCTGAGTTTTTATTTCCCTGTAAAACCCTGCGTTTTTGCACTGCCGGCGTCCAAGCGGCAGCAGAGGGTGTGCAGAAAACAGGAGATAAAATATAGCGAATAATCACAGACTTTTTTCACACGGTCACGCCGCTGATGGTAACGCTGGAGCGTTCGCCTCCCTTTTCATCCTTTTTAGACACATTTTTCCCCAAAGCACATTCAGCATACGGGCCACGAGGGCTAGCGGGGGCAGCGTGAGCTTCGCACCACTCGCGTCGCAAACCACTGGAGGTTTTGGTGGCTTACCCCCAGGGGAGGCGAGAGACCCCCCCAAACCAGGCAGAGAAACAGAGGTCCGCTTCAAATCGCGGTGTGAAATCCGAATTCCCAGCAACCGAGCACCGCTGGAGCGGTCGCGGCGGAGTGAGAAGGCTCCCTGCCCTCCTCCCCGGCGCAGCCGGAAC